CCCCAAAACCCCAAAACCCCAAAACCCCAAAACCCCAAATGAGCATTTGAAGGATGAAAGAAAATTGATTATAACTATGAATGCCAGCAAAGTATTCAGGGAAGAGACGACACTAGTTGCAGGTTTAGTTTACTCTTCCTTGATCGACTCCATCACTCATTTTGAAGCAATAGATTTAGCATTAGAGCTATTTTCAAGAGATTTTACGCTCATATCGTCTTCTTGGATAACCTTCATTTGAGCACCTCCTTTCATTAGAGATAACCGAGCTTTAAATGGAAAGAAGTTACTTTTTCTTGGTTTCCTCTGTTTCTGCTTTAACTGGCTGATTTCAAAAGCTCTCAGAGTGTCCTCATACCCATCATCTGTATTTTCTGGTAGTTCTCCCTGTGAAAATTCCTTAGAATATGACTCTATTGGATTGATGTTCCCTTTAAGCTCGCTTCAAATAGAACTTCATTTTCTGGAAGATTTGATGCCAGAGCTCCTTCCTACTTCTAATGCTTGTCCAATGTTCTTGAATCAGCTTGAATCAAGTCCTATTCTTAAGGTTCACAACTTTTCATGAATATTTTTACAAAAATTTTAGAAAGAAATAGAACAACTCAAATTTGATTCCTTACCATTTACATTTAGAAGAGTGTCTGTTGAGTTCTCCTTGCTTGAGATTATATGCGTTAAACCTTGATTTCTGGTGCTATATAATCTATTAAACCTGAACCAAAGTGTTTTTCATTAGGTTAAGGATCCTTACCTGAATTTGGTACTGAATTTCCTTTCAATTTCTCGTCCCTCGTCATCAAATTTCAAGAAGGTGTGATATAACAAGTCGTCAATTGTTACAACTTTTTCAAATCATCAATCTAGAAAGTCTATAAGCGGATCTATAAGCTTTTCTTCTCAGTTCTATATTCAGAGTTATAATCAGCTTTCTTAAATGAAGGGCAGTTACTAAATAAACAGAATAAGGTGCACTTACAGTTGTATAGCAGCTTTTGAGTTCCTCCATATTTTCTAAGAATAAGTCTACAGTGTGGTCGGACCCTTGATCAATGTTCAGCAAGCCAAGAAATTTCAAGATACATATCCCAAGGCAGAAAATATCAAATCTACTCCCTTCTTCAGGGGTGAATTGGGCCTCACGGTCGAAGATTCCCATCTGACCGTAATCGGTCAGTTTAACGTTGAATCATGTATCAAGATGGATGTTATTCAGATTTAGTCGGCCATGAAAATAATCGATTTTTAGAAGGTCCTTTAGTAAACTAAGGACTTGGTAACAGACCCTCCTGATATTAGAGGTATCTAGCTTTCCAAATGTTTCTATATATTTCTTTGCATTCATGATATTGATATACTCCATGAGCAGAACTATATCTCCATTTGCTTTATCCTCATCGATATCATAGTATTTGGCAAGACCAGTAGAGTGAGGGTAATTTCATGAAATCTTTTTGCATAGCTCTGTCACTTGAGTTTTGCATTCCTCCTTTGAGACACTCTTGCTATCAAGCTATAAGAGATTTAGTCACTCCAGAAAATATAATAATATCGTCCATAACAACAATTATAAAACTTAAAACCGGTTTTATGCTGACAAATCCTCTAAGAAATATTGGAATGTCTAATATAAGGTATTAGATGCCCAGATGTTACCTTAAAGACCTTAAAGGCCATCTCCATATCCTGCTTAGAAGCTACAATAGCTTTATACACAATAGTGAGTTGTCCTTCACCAATAATCTCTCCTTCCTGGTTTTCTGAGCCTTCTATTCAACATTAACTAATGAAGAAAATTATTAAGCTTACTTCTTTCTTTATTATTTTCATTTCTTGTTCTTCCAGTTCAGATGGTTGCTAGTGCTCAAACATATACTTGAGGAGAGCTCTGGAACTTCATCAATCTTTGAGAACTCACAATCTTTAGGAGAATGGATTAACTCCTTCGGCCGTACTAATTTGCTACTGCTGAACTTAGTAGATAAATTTGCTTTTTTAGGAGAAGAAATCTCATCATTTGTATTTGAATACGACCTTCTTTGGTTTGATAAAGCTGGCTTAGTCCCAATCTTACCAGACTTGCTACAAAGAACAGGTTAGGATACCAAAGCATTAGTTTTTTGATGGAATTTTTGGACCAAGTTCTATAATGCAGATTTTGTACGCAGATGCTAAAGCCTTTTGATAAAGGAGGGACATAATTTTACTGGAAAACAGCCAGAAACAAGTAATTTAACTTCAATTTTCCTGAAATTATCATGAAAATGTGAAACATAGATATTTCATTATTCACGATCATAGATGTTTGAATGCAGCTTTAAGTCAGCATGTTCTTCCTCTACTACTACACCATCTCCAGGGTGCTTAAATCTTATTGAAATGCTAAGCTATTTTTCTCTGCATTTTACCCAAGGTCCATTGTAATACCTTGCTTACCTCAACACAACTTGTTCTCTTCAGCATGAACCTCCCATTTTATTACTCTTGAAGCAATATGTTTTCTTAAATTCTATTAAAATTACTATTATCGGGGTTTTGGGGTTTTGGGGTTTTGGGGTTTTGGGG